GTATGTAGTGACTGACAGTTCCTTGCTTGTTAAAAAAAAAAAAAAAAAGCTGCTGCTACTACTATACTATGTCACTAATAAGTAAATAGAATCCAGAAGGGAGGGATACAGGAATTAATGAAAAGCAAATAAATGAGTAAGCAGATAAAGGAAAAGTCTAAATGTTGATTGTAAAAAGAAAAAAATTGCAATAGTAATATTAGGAGTGCTGAGATTGGAGATAAAACATTATAAGTACTTGTATTGTTCAAAAGGAGGCTAGAGATAATTAACTGTAGATTAAATGTGAGTATTTAAAATGGGGTAAACTACTACCCAGTGATAGAAATAAAAATGTTTCATTTCCTACTCAGAAGAAAATGTCAACTCTCCAGCAGAAAGTAGGAAAGGAGGGAAAAATAACAGTATGGTAACTAGAAAACAGTAAGACAACAGAAATGGTCCCCACTTTATCAATATTTGTCACAAACATGGATTTATACTTATCAGCGTAGGTAATAAAAATCTTAATTACATGCTGCCTACAAGAGACTCTCCAAAATAAATTAATATAGAAAGGTTGAAAATAAACAGGTGGGAAAAGGTATATAAAACAAATCCTAACCAAAAGTAATTGTGTCCACTTTCAGTAGATAAAATATTTAGGTGAAAAACATTAATAAATTTAAAAAGAGATACTATTCATGATAAAAGGAACCCTAAAAAGGTATAACAATTAGAAACTAAGAACATAAGGCATCTAACAGCATGGCCTTCAAATACAAAGCAAAAACTCCTAGAATTATAAGGGAAACTCATGACATCCACAATTTCAGAAAACTACTTTTAGAAATACAAAGAACACATGAGCAAGGAATCCTTAAGACTTTAGATTTTTATGGAGACCTTATAGTCTTCCTATCCTACAAATAGAGAATATATTGTTTTATTGACTATATATCTGTGCTGTTGGAGCTTTTGCAAACATTCACCACATATTAGTCATAAAGGAAGTCTCAAATTCCAAAGCAGCTAGATCATACAGACCATGTTCTCACACCGCTAAGTAGCTATATTAGAAGTCAAAATAAACAGGTAGTTAAAATCAAATTAAATGTTAGAAAACTAAAATAACACACCTCTGAATAATCTACAGATTATCAGCTCTTGGGCAATATGTGTAATTCTTCTGGTAAATAACCCGTGGGTTAAAGAGGATATCGCAATGAACATTACAAAATATTTAAAATTGAACAAAATAATATCTGTGATCTTAATGCATAAATTAGAAAACAAGACCTAGATAAAACTCAACTAAAGATTCAATTCAAGCAGCCACAAAACACACACCAGTAAATACAAAGAAAACAGGAGGAAAAAAAGTAAGAGCAGATATATCTACATATCTCTCTATATAGTAACGGTGAAGGGGAAGGATAGTAAGTAGAATAAACATAAGCTGGTGTTTTAAGCAGCCATAGATATGGTAGAAATTTTTTAAATTGTACTAATACAATGACCAGCTTTATCATAGTAAGTTAGAAAATTTAGGGGGGGAAAAATCATCCAAAATTGTCTCAATGAGAAGCAAGACACTAAATCCGTGACTATTCACGACCCTCAGTTGGTAGTCAGCTGCTCCCATGCACAAAGATTCACTGCACACAAGGCCCAAATAGTTTTGTCAGTTCAGGGAATGCAAAGATAATTCATAGTCAGAAAGTGCAACAGAGGAATTTGCCACACTGACAAAATGCTTCTCAGTGAAATAGGTACAGTTCAACTGAATAACAATGTACAAAATGTCAAAGCTATATAAAAAGCTAAACATTGAGAAGTGTCTTTTGTCTCGTGCCTCTTCACCCCCTTGTGTTCCCTCTTTAGGGAACCAGATTTCTTAACATATGGACTTAAGCAAATACAAATATATATTCATTAAAATTAAATATAAGAGTTGAGTCACCATTGCCATGTATTTTTAGTTCTTCCTCTGCAAAATTATAAATGTCACAATTTGATTGGTGGAGATACATTGTATATATAAGTGTGTGTGTGTGTGACCTGTTTACAAAGAGACAATGAACCATGGGTGTGCTGATAGAATTTATCACCACGCTTTCTTAGACAGGAGTGGCCAAAACGAATTCTGAGCTATTATGAAGAAATAAAGGGGTGAGAAGCTAAAAGCCATTAAGATAAACGTTGGTTTGTGGTGCAGTTTTCACTGCCGCACAGCAAGAGGAAAGGAGTAAGGACACAGTATTACGAAATATAAGGTTAATTTCTTCATCTCTTTGCTTTAATCGCTGAAAGCATAGTCTTTCAAAATGGTATCTGGCCTTCCGAGGTTGGGGGCTGTGTGCACACCCATGCTTTGATACCTTAAGACACTTTTGGATATATCTCTCTCTCTTCTTCCTGTAACATCTGGACTTACTGAAGTACTGGTTTTCTGAAAACTCCCAAAGTACTCAAGGGTTCAGTTGTCTGGGAGCTGTATTTGACTGCAGCAAATTATGTTGGCATACACAATTATTCTTATACTTGGCCTTGTGGTCCTGGGCCAGGTTTTACTTTTTCTCTGTCTCATTCTCTCTCCCCCACCTCCCTTCAGCCCTCTCATCTGTCCCATTCTCTGCCCTTTTCTGCCCCTACTTTTTGCCTGCCTCTCTCCCTCCACCCTCATAGACCCACCCACAAACCTCTCCTTCTCTTGTGTTTCACCCCTGTTCCCATTTCTGGCTGTCTAGGGGTAAATGGTTAATAACAGGCCTTTTATATGTAACTACATGTTCCATTAATAATAATTAAAAAAAAAACATTTCTAATTGCAAAGATCCATAACCCTAAAAGCTACCCAAGAGCAGTCAGCTTTACATGTCATATTAATGGGCACTGTCTTGTTTATGGGATCCCTGCTATTATGGTAATATCAGCAGTTAGCAGAATAATGATAATAACAATGTTTGATTTTTCTTATTATGGGTAATAGTTACTGCATTTTTACCACTTGCTACATCTTGTTCTAGGTAAGTGGTTCCAGACTAAACTCTTGGGTATGCCCAGGACTCTTTTCAGGAGCCTGTGAGGTCAAAAATATTTTTATAGTAGTATTGAGCCGTTGTCTTTATCACTGTGTGATTGTGTAGAGTGGGGGGCAAAACTGCTGACTCTGAAGTGCAGATCAAAGCTCGTGGTCACTGTAGTCCTCACTGTCAGCCCTCTCGGTTTAAAAAAAAAAAAGGCAGTTTTATTTTAGAACCCTTGGGTACATGTCCTCTTCATGTTCTCTGTGACAAAATCAGGAAGTATGCATTAAACACTTCTGAATGCTAAGTATGTTTGAGTTGGCAGTTGAATTTGTTACATTTTTCATGAACCACCATTTTTTTGTTTTTCAAAAGAGCAACAAACTATTTTGGTTATTCAGACTTGGGTATTTGGCAGATCTGTTCTCGAAAATGAAGTCAGCCTCTAATTTCAAGGAAAACACTGTATTGGTCCAGTGGAGACAGCTGTCCATTGGCCACACTGGATGATGCTTCTTCAGAGACAGGCACTCCCAGGGGCCCTCTTGATGCTGCACAATGTAAACTTTTATATTCAACTCGTGTTTATAAATTATAATTAAAGTTACACTTTGAATACTGATGAATTTTGGAATAACAGAACTGAACATTTTCCCCAAGGTTTCCTGACTACAGAGTCACTCGTTATATAGATTAGGTAAATAGAACCCTGATATTAAAAGCCGTGTCTGAGATAATGCTCTATAAATGCATGATTTATGGCCTAATCTTATATTTTAATAGTGCTTTAAACGACCATGTACTTTCCTATATACTTTTTCATCTGATCCACACACAACCCTGTGAGTCTCTAAAGCAGCTTAAAGATAAGGAAATTGAGACACAACGAAGATAATTCTCTGAATGCACTTTATATTTCCCTGCCCTTTCAGCTATTATTTCTGACATCCTGAAAGAAGTCAGCAAATGGAGAGGAGATAGAATCTGTAACACTTGGCAACTTACTGGATGGAAAAAAAATGGAGGGGAAGGAGTAGGGATTTTCTGAAGTTCTTGCATAGGCCTCTGGGAGGGCACCATTAATCCAGAAAATAAAACAGAGTAGAAATAGATTCAGTCAACACACTTTCCTAAAGTTTTTTCCAGGGCACTACTGGCATCTTTTGGTTTCTTCGCATGTACAGTCTGTTTTTATGGTGTCTATAGGGAAAAGTAGGGCATGCAGGCCAGCACTGACTCTAAGGAACAGTGCTAAGTGCCTGAAGAAAAGTTTTGTTCAAGTCCTAGTCATAGAAGAGGATACTTCTGGGCTCAGGAAAAACTGAAAGGCATCCTGCAGAATGGTAGGATTTAGATGTTCAGAGGAGGTTGTGAGGAGACAAGAGAAATTCAGTTACAGAAAAATAATGAGAACAAGTGTGGAAGGAGGAATATCAGGTATAAAAGATGGTACCCACACAGCGCTTGTAAGCAGGCAATGGGAAGTTATTCTTGGAAACAGTTATTCCAGCCAGATAGTAGAAATGTTGGCTGCAGGGTCTGAAAACAGTAACTACCACAATGCTGCCTATATGGTCAGTTTTCCATTTTGTATTTAGTTCATTTTTTAAAATGGCACTTGCCAAACAAATGTCTTTAAGTACAACCGAGTTGTTTCTTTACATATAAAATCTCTTCATTTTTCCTTAGCTTTCAAGTTCAGGTAACATAATTGCTTTTCCCAGATTTTGGGTTATAAAGAGGGTTGTGCAAAATATTTTGGTCTCATTTTTTAAATCCACAGTAAACCTGCAATCTTTAGATAACTTTATTCTCACACTTAGACATTCTATCCATCCTTTAAATTGTATTTTCATCTGAACTACATCCCTGTGTCCCCAAATATCTTAGCCTTGTTCCCCAGGTCTTTCTTCTCCTTTATCATCAGTGTTTGTTGTTACTATTCACTGCAGAGTTTATCTGACTTGGATATTTATTACGGTTTTCCCCTAGATAAGCCAGATAAATATGATCCACGTGATGTCGAAAGGCTGCAACAAGATGATAACTGGGTTGAAAGTTACTTATCTTGGCGACAGAATGCTATAGATGAAACACTGAAGATGATTGATGAGAGTTTTCAGTGGAGGAAAGAAATGGCTGTCAACGGTAAGCTATGCAATTTAACCTTGACAGTATACTAGCACCTGCATAAATGTTACTGGTTTACATTCATTGAATAGCGTATATAGTTATCCTTAGCACTCATTATAAACCCAAGAATAGAATGGTTTATAAAGATCCAATACACACAGTGTTATTACACTATGAAAAGAGTGCCTTATGAGTCTTAAAAGTAGATCGTAAGAAAATCAGATCACCAGGAAGTGGAATCACAGATTCTTTTCTCACAGCTGAGTCTCCTAATCTGTTTAGTTCAGTGTCTTTAAACAATAGCAACACCGCTTCACTCTTAGACCTAGAGATAAACTGATACTATTTGCCAGTTTTTCTCAGTTGGCTACCTTAGGTCTATTTATTCCCAGAGTCCCTTGTACTGATAGATGCATCTTATAGAATTGCTGAGTGAGGGTCAAGCTTATCCCAAGGATACCTATGGCAGACAACCTTCTTAGTTTCAAGTCCAACATCTGGATTAAAAATTTCCCCCAAAATAGGAGTTTTAGATCTTAGGGAGGAGTTTATAATAGTCTTCAAGAATATGAAGAACTCTTCTCAGGGAAGGTTAACTGTTAGTTCTCTCCTTCTAAACACTTAACAAGAAGAAACTGGCATAGCAACTTGTTTGATGAGGTATAAAGATTGATTTCCTGATCTGGAGGATTGTAAACTCCTGAGTCATGAGTCTGGAGACTTAATACAAAATAGTCAACAAGTCCAGAGTACACTTTTAGAGGGAATCCATCAGCAAGGTAGTATTTAAGAAATAATTTGATTGGAAATGTAAAAACCATAGTAATTTCAACAATGAACCATTGATTAATAAAGCCAAGAAATATAAATCTGATACGTCACGTTATTTAAGTATAGAATAATCTTTTAAACTCAACAGTATTTTTTTTCTTACATATAATTGCTGGTTTCCTGTGGCAGATAGCAGAGAGAGAGGATGAACTGGGTTGGGGACCAATGAAGAAATCTTTGAAAGTTCTTGGGGAAATACTAATGATGATCTGAATGAGCAAATATATTTTTTATAAGTCACAATATCATAGTCCCTAAGTTACAAGTTCTCATCACAGTTTATCAATTTTTAGACCTGAGTGAATCCTCCATTCCCAGATGGTTATTGGAAATTGGTGGCATTTATCTCCATGGTTATGACAAGGAAGGCAACAAGCTGTGTACGTATATTTAATTTGTGTGCTCACTTTTCAATATTTTGAGACATAGTATCAATCAATTGCAACTGATTAAAATTAAGCAGGAATTTCTTCATATGTGACATGAAATTTCCCACAATTGAGGATTATTAGGGCCATCTTGACTAAGCATCAGATACTTAAGTATTTGTACGTAATGTTTGTATTCTAATAAAATAGGCTGTACAGGCAAATGCCGTATTCTGTAACACAGCCAAAACAATGTAATTCAGAGTCGCCATCTTCTAAGTGACCGTGATATTAAAATTTATCCCAGTACTTTTATGGAAAATCTCGGACAGTCTTAAGCCTTGCTAAATGGACCATTTTTGTTTTCAAGTTTTCCAGTCTTAGCTTCTTCCTGTATCTTCACGATCATAGGAGGAACAATAACAGGCCCATCATCCCTGTGGGCCCGATGACTCTTCTCCCCCTTGTCCAAATCCAGCTCGGGTGTGTACCAAGGCTGGGCCCGAGTAGGAGCACCAGAGTCCCATCCTGAGCAGGGCAGTTTTCTGCATGTTGAGTGGGTCCCTTGCTTGACCCTGTGTGGCATGTGACCTGTTCCTGTTTTGACAGGACTCTGCATTTTCTTCCTGTCATCGCCACCTCCTCCTCTTTCCTTCTCCATATTCTTTTCTCATTTCTTTAACTCCACCCTCCCCTTAAATGTGTGTCCCAGCTGTATTCCTTTCTTCACTATCCTGGCAGCTTCAGCTGCCTGCCCCCCAATGGCAGTGACCCCATGCCATCCGCGGGCCACAGGCATATGCACACTTCACTCCCCATTGACTGGTGCCACCAGGCTGAATCAGCTGCCTACGACATAACACACAGCTGAACATCCAGGTCCCAGCAGCTACACCCTCTCTGGACCTCCCACTCTGGCCCGCAGGGACTCACTCTTCCCTCTGATATATCTGCAATGTCCTATGTCACCCCTTCTCCCTTTGCACCAGTGCCTCCCCAGTTCAGCCCCTAAGTACTCCTCCCTATGCCTTCCCAGGTCACAGCTGTTGTGTTTCTGCTCTCACTCAACCTCCTTTGTGCCGCTGCCCAAGAGCTGTTTTAAACAGAAGACTTAAAAGGCCGTAGCTTTTCATTCTGAGCCCTTCCAGCCAAGCCTCTCCCCTCTCAGCACATCTACTCTCAGCTACCACTCTAAGCAGTTTGCCATGCTCCCCTTGCATGCACGACACCCCTTCTTGCCTCCATTGTGCCTCTGTACGTGCTTGTCCTCTGGATGAAACGTTTTTCCTAGTGCTTGACAGAACCATTGACTTTCTTTTCTGCTAGGCACCATGAAGGTTATTACAAAATATTACCCATTCACCTGTATTTTCCTTTCCCCTTATTTACTAGTAAAGTTTGTTTTAAGTTTCCCTAGTATGTACTATTTCTCATTTTAAAAGAGGAAAAGATGTTTTTAATCTGAGAAGCAAAATTATAATTGAAGAAAAATGTCAAGGGGAAAGAATGATTTTATATATATATAAAATATTATAATGCCTTAAATATTTTTCTTATTTTTATCATCTTTCTTACTTTGATCGTTTGTTTTGCTTAAAGTCTGGATCAGGGTGAAGTATCATGTAAAAGACCACAAAACCATATTGGACAAAAAGAAGCTTATAGCATTCTGGTTGGAGCGTTATGCTAAGAGAGAAAATGGGAAGCCTGTAACAGTGATGTTTGACTTGTCAGAAACTGGAATAAATAGCATAGTAAGCATTTTTCATTAATTCTAAATCATGGTTCATCATAGTGTCCCCCCCTTCTCTCCTGTCCTCCCTGCTGGCCTCACCCCAACCAAATATTGCTATAAAACTGAGCTAACCAAGTTATGTTTGGGATTTCTTTTCTTTTCCTGCCACGTAAGTGAAGTCAAATATGGAATGGGATTTGCGGAGAATTAAATTTGCTTCAGTATTTGGCAAGGAAACTATAGATTTCTTAGAAAAGTTCCTTGTCTGATACACAGGATTTAGAGGTAGGACTGGGAGGCTGGCAGGGTAATGAGTAGATGTGATTAACAGCAAAATTTTCTGTCAGAGCTTATATCCTACAGCACCTAACAGCACCTAACCCTGTGCCTGGCACAGGTTAATACCCTTAGTAAATATTGAGTACTGTATGCTTTCTAGTATAGCATTAGAGTCCCACCATGTCCTGCAGCTGCTCGCCTGAGTATTGCACTCACAGTACTCTGTGATTTTGTTGTGGGGTGGGGGAGGGGGCTGTTTACTTATTTGGATTTGTTTTTTGTTTGATTTGGTTAGCTTTGGAAACCAGTTTTTTCCAAGTGATTTTGCCAAGCTTAAAAATTATGTAAAACCTACCAGTCTTTAATTTGGGCCTAGTAACAGTAGTGGTAACTATGATACAAAGCCCTCGGCAGCACTAGAGAGCCGCTGGCATATTTATTAGGGCCACTGTCTTGTACATTCAAACCTTGGTTAACTGGTAGCAGTGACTGGCATTCACATACCTACCTGGGGCAGTGCCGAAACCTTTTTGCAAATCCTCTTGGCAAAATACATTAAGAACCTTAAAGTGTTAGTGGAAATACTCTCTGCCTGGTAACTACCTTCTGCAAATGTATTCTAAACAAATAAACCCGAGTACAGAGAAAGCATTGTGCACCAAAATGTTTTTTTCTGAGTATCATTTAAAATAGTGAAAAATTGGAAAACATGTAAAAGTTCACAACAAATGGTAAATTACGGTGTATCTAATTGATGGTGTATTGTAGCTATATAAAGTGGTTTTATGAAGAATTTGTAGTAATATTGAAAAATTGAAAAATAACTTTTTTTAAAATAAAAAGGGCTATGGAATATATCACAGTGATACCTACTTCCCCAAAAGGGAAACCTTTGACATTAAAACAAGTAAACAGACTTGGGAGATCTGTTACCAAGAGGTTTAAGTGAAGTAGGTCTACAGATTTTTTTTCCTCATTCTTTTCATATATCTGTATTTTAGGAGTCCAATGGCCAGGAATTTTTTCAACCTACTTTCCATGTCCATGAGTTTTAGATTATAGACTAAATCATTTTATAACCAAACTCTAAATCACATTGCCACAATAAAAAACAATTCCATAAAGCAAAATCATGATTCTGCTATCCTGGGGTAGTTACTAACGACAGCTCAGAATCATAAAAAGAGAATGTTAATATTTTTTATTATTAAATCCAGGGGCAAGGAATCTACTTAAGCTGTTTTATTTATTTTTTTTCTTTTTAAGCCACTTGCATGTACTATTTCATTAATTTATAAGTGAGGTTGTTTGCATTAAGTATTTAGATCATTAATATTTTTAAATACTCAAATCTTACTGAATGAATTTATATTTGACCTTCTCAAGATTCACAAGGATTCAAGTCAGCTTATAAAGAAAAATAGAATTGCAAGGAAAAAAGTTTCTTTAATTATTTGTTAGAGTTGGGCCACTAATTTGGCTCTAAGCTTTCAGCTCTCTACCTGAAAGAAATGGAATCACTGAAAATGATTCAGTAGCCATACTTTAAAACCATTGTATTAGGAGAAGTGTAGCAACTCCTGATGCTTGAACATCTTGATGACATTTTACAGGGTGATAATAGCACACTTGAAACATCCTCACAGAATGCAGAGCAGCACTTCCCCCTAATGTATGTACACCAGTGGAATTCTGTCAGTGCACTTGAATAAGCAGTAATTTGAGAATTATAAGGATATTCAGTTAAATAAAAGATGAAAACAAGAACAGTGGACAAAGACACTTTAGGCAAAGTCTCTTGGGGTCACAGACTATATTACTAGGTAACAAAATTTTTATTTAATTTGTTATTTCAGATACTTTTTTGACACTTAACTACAAATTATTAAAACTCTGTATAGATATGTTAGTTAAGGATAATATTATATATTAGGATTTATCCCATAATCAATACCTGTGATACATAAGGATGCTTACTTTCAGTTTACTGCAATGAAAGATGTTGCAATTCACATGCTAGGCATGGCGTTATAGATTTTATAGGCTCTCCTCTCTGGGACAGCTTAGCTTTTACTAATTAATGGATTTAAGTTGGCCTGGCTATATCTTTTACCTCATAGTCTTGTGAAGATGACTGATAAGGATTAGGAAATCAGCCTGTGGACATGGAATAACATGGAATGCAGTGATCCATGTGAATAGTAACCCTAATAACCTTACTTCATAGGTTTTTATATCTGTGTTCAATGTAGAAGAACCAACCAGACCACTCAATTTATAAAGTCTCCCATAAATTAGTCAGTGAACAATACTTTAACATAAACTAAAAAATTGTAAATCTAGATCCCTAAACAAGAGGAAGAGAGCTAGAAATGAAGTGGCTGAATAGCAGACCAATATGATCAGGTTAACTGTTGTGGGCAGAATTAATAAAATTTATTTTATTAAAACTATTATGAGTTATAGAAATTAGGCTTAAAAAGCAAACCAGAGTTTATATATGTTATGTATGCTCATTCTAAGTAGTCAGGTTACAAATTGTATATTTGTTTCAATAATTCTTTAATTGTTCAACAGACTTTTAGTATTTCTGTAAGGGGATTGCTTTTACATTCATTTCATTATGCTACATTGTCTTAGCAGCCTAAAGTATCTAACTACTTTGAAGTAATATAAGTGATATTAAAATATCACTAAGCATCCAATTTATGTAACTCTGTTGTAGGACTGATTATTCTAAGTAGCTTAATGACTTAAAACCTTAATCTCCAGGAATCTACATGTTTATGAGCTTATTTTTGAAGAATTTAATAATTGTCTCATTTGTGATTAATCTGTTGCCTTTGGAAATGTGCAGTTTAAAATTCTCTAATGTGGACAGTCTTAAAGATTTAAATGTATAATCTTTATTTTAGGACATGGACTTTATACGCTTTATCATCAACTGCTTTAAGGTTTATTATCCTAAATACATCTGTAAGTAACTTATTCCTTTATAAAAATATATTAAACTATAGACAAAGTCTAATAACTGTAGAGCTTTCATACCTCATTTTTTTTTTAATTATTTAGGTAGCGTTGGTTTACAATGTATATATTTTAGAGGTATAGGGTCTCCCCCTTCAGGTGTTGTTTCTACACTGCACCCCCTGCCACAGCAGCCAAGATACATTACCATTGTCCCCTGAGCTTCCTTTGCACTTTGTTCTTCCTCCTCTCACTCCCTCCATCCTCTGGTAGCCTCAGTTCCACTATCAGATTTGTAGGGTTTGTTATTCGCTTAGCAATATCTGACTGAAACATTACTTTCAGATGAGCAGTTTGAATGAGTTCATAAGAGCATGTCCTAGTAGGTACATGGGTAAATTTTTCATAAATAATTGTTGCCCTTTATAGTTAAAGAGTTCAAGTTCTAAACTGTATATATTGCACCCCATAACACACATAAAGTATTCCCAAGATTATGTCATTTTAACTAAACTTGCAATTGAGAAATTCATTTAAAATAGTATTTATTTAAGATATGGAACTTCCTACATGCAGGAACACATAAGAAATATTGATAAATACACTCTGATAAGCTATCCTGATACAGAGTACACTGTGTACTAATTACTATTTTTAAATGGTATTAAGAAAACACTTGACTAGAGTGCACTACATTTGAATCTAGCATTTAGAGTTTGTTTTTAATTGTGATTCTTTAATTAATAACTCGAGTGAAGAACCCCTCAATCTTAAGTACATTTTTTTTTTTACTGGACTTTATATGATGGTCTCCTCCTGGGGAAATAAGATGCCAACACAACAGTCAAATATATTTACCCCAGAAGGTTAATGGTGAAAAGACAGAACAGAGGCAAAAGGGCCGTCAGAAAATGAAAACTCAACGGGTCTCCTGGGCAAACCCCTGACAAGTACCACACTTAAGGTCTTTTGGGGGGCTCATAATTAATATGATACTAGAGCAACATACATGAATCATCTTATTTTGGTACACTTTCACATATTAATATGAAGTTAGAAACAAAATACATGATAGATGTCAAGAGTCAGTGCCACCCATTGCCCTAGCGCTCACGTCTTCAGATAAAGTATTTGAACATTTTCAGTTAATGTCTGAATTGTGAACTTGAAGGAACTACAGTTACTCCTGAATTCTTCCTGGATCTGGCAGACCCCCTGATTCATCAAGTCTTGCTGAGCATTGCCAGTTGGTGATCAGTAGGGAATCACTATCCCATATTATTAGCTTGTTTCTCTTACATACAAAATGAAAATAAAATAGCCCCTTGTTTAATGAAATATCTAAAGGAGTTTGTGAGAAGCCACTTAAAAAATCTTACAAAACAAATCCAAGATTCTTTTGAGAAACCTATTAATAAATTCATGGTTCTGTATAAGGAAAATTTTGAGCACTACTCATTTGAATTAACTAGAGATAATGTATAAATATACATGTTTTGCAGACACTGAATTTTATAGCATCTTAAATTGATAATGCTTCAAAATCTGTCATGAATTATGACTGTTCTATCTTAGAATCTTGAGTTAGTGCCTTTTTAGGGCCTAACGGAGGTATTAAAACAGTGGTATTAAGTACCAGAGTACCTCTTTGCAGATAACTTGTTACTTACATGTACTTTACCTGTCCTGTATTAATGTAATCATTTTAATTCTCTGCTCAGAGAGGAATGAAATTACTTTTCGATTCATCTGTAATAGAAGAATGACTTGGATATCAAAAATCCCCTTTGTGGTTTCTTTCTCACAACTGTTAATAAGACTGTTTAATATCTTCATCTCAGTATGCAAATACTTGTGTATACTTTAGAATTATCAACTTCCTAAGGTTCATAATATTAAGAAAAGTAAAAAATGTTGTTTGTTAAAACAGTGATTAAAAATTCGGGGCTTGCCACTGTGAGTATGGTTTAACAATATCATCTTTAGAAGATCATAATTGAACCCATAAATGACATGTGGAAGTCATTTTAAAATTCAGTGGTATTCAGCAGTAATATGACATGCCACATCCAAAGACTCGGTTTACCCACCCAACTATTACATTCTCTACCTTTCTGCAAACCACAAAAGCAGTAAATGAACAAAGAACAGACTGCCAAAGAACAGTGATTGTACATTATTCATTTTCCGCAGGCTGTCCTCTTGGGTGGGCCCCTCACCATCAAGAGAAGTTAGTTCAGTTCTAGCACTACTCACTTCAGAATTAGAGCTTAGTTGACCAGCTCAGTTTTCTGTGAAATTACGATCACGAAGGTTTTATTTTTTAATAGATCAGGTGACAGTGATATTACTATAGTGTCACTAAGTCTCATTCAATGATTTTTTTTTATCTTTCAGCAAAAATAGTGGTCTTTGATATGCCTTGGATAATGAATGGTGAGCATATTACTTAGACTTTCCTAAAGCAAAATGTCTGATTTCCTTTTTTCTGTACTTTGCCAATTTAGCCATATTTCTACACGTTTTTTAAAATGTTTATATTGTGCTTGATGCACACACACTCAAGAGGCTGCAGCTAGAACACTCAAAGGCTGTTCCTTAGCAAACTGGACTAACACTCTACCCCCAGAGTCTAAGGGCCACGTTAGTCTTCTGAAAAAGATCTTCAAGATATTCAACTACTCATGTAAAACTACAGCCAGAAACCTCAGTTTGTCACCCACAGACAAAGGGAGAGGGTATGTCACAGAATATCACTCTTAGCAAGGTTTTCTCATGGGCTTCAGGTATTGAGGAAGCACGTAGGATGAATCTGAAATTTATTCCACATTTCTAGTTGCATAATTCTTACAACAGTTATATTTTTTTATTAAAAAATCATTTTTATTAAAAATTTTTCATTAAATGTAATCAGTGAAAAACACTTTGCTGACTTTAACATGATTGTGAATTTAATGATATTTTCAGAATGTGCATTTGTGTTTGCCAAAGTCAGTTGTTACATAGAAAGCAATAGAGAAAACAAATCCAAAACTTGGTTCTTTGAAAGGTTCAACAGCTTGACAAAACGTTGGCTAAACTCATGAAAAAAATAAAAGGCTCATTACTAAAATCAAAAACAAACATATATTGACGTGAAAAGGGCTATAAGGGAATGAACAATTGTATACCAAGATAAGATAACCCAGATGAAATGGACAAATTCCTAAGAAGACACAAACTACTAAAATGGATTCAAGAAGAATCTGAATAGAGGTATAGCAAAAGAAAGTGAATTAATATTCAAAAAAATTCTCATAAAGAAAAATCCAGGCACAAATGGCTTCACTGGTAAATTCTACCAACCATAAAGAATCAATGCCAATTCTTTACCAAAACTCTCCAAAAAATAATTTATTAATGAGCATCCAAGTAATTTAATCTTCCTGAATCTTCATGTAACCTTTGAAATCCATAAGGGATAATCACAATATAAATGTCTACAGGAATTAGAGAATGCTAACTAATCATGCTTTGGAAAGATACAGATTATTGCCCAAACTAATTTCAGGAGAACTTTGTTAGCACATAAAGTAAATTAAAATTGAGAGTTTAATAAAGTGACTGTTTTTTCCTTAGCTGCTTTCAGAATTGTGAAAACCTGGCTTGGTCCAGAAGCAGTGAGTTTATTGAAGTTTACAAGTAAACATGAAGTCCAGGACTATGTCAGTGTAGAATACCTGCCTCCCCACATGGGTGGAACTGTAAGTATGGTACTTGAAACTTGTTTCTAAAATAAGAATGCATTACAGTACATTAAGGAAAAAGGAAAAACAATATAATGGTCAAAGAAAGATCAGCATTACATTTTTAGGTTAATACATTTTTAATTTTGAATAGGTTATACATTTGCATGTTTGCCTCCAATTGCATACTGTTGATTAATCTTTTTAATTTAAAGGATAATACACACTTTCAAGATTTTTTTAGAAATTATTTTACTACTTACAAATAATCCAGGAGCATATAGGTATGTGTTAAACTTTTAATACTAGGTAACATTGAAACTTATTGTGATAATGATGTTGGTAAGTTGTTCAACTTGTGGATTTGGTATATTTTGGGTTAACTTGATTGGAATATTTGAACTATTTGATTGTTACAATCTACCTTGTTTACTGTCTACTGGATAAAATTGTGTTCAACCACACCAAGGGTCTAATGGGTTGAAAAGTTTTGGTACATCCTTTTATTTTCTTTGATTAGAAAAATCTGAATCAATATTTTTAATTTGAGGTTTGTTGCTTTCCTAGTCTTAGGCTTTATATTTCATATTTTAATCTAGAAAAACAGAACATAGGTCAAGTACTATCCTTAGTTAAAATAGTTATTTGATTGATTTGTCATTTTTAATAATTTGCCCATGGAAATTTTAGGTCTGAAAATCAATAGCATTTAGTAAGAATTTGTTTGATTTTAGGGATAGAAAAGGTTATTTTAGTTGCCTTCCCTTTTGTTAGTATTTGTTTCTTCAGGAGTGACAACCTAGCTAGATAAAAGTATTCTTGTTTGGAACTGTTTTCCTTTCTGCACTTTGAATATATAATGCCATTCCCTTCTGGCCTGTAAGGTTTCTGCAGAGGAATCCACCGATAGTCTTATGGGAGTTCTCTTGTGATTCATTTTTCTCTGGCTGCTTTTAAGATTTCCTCTTTTGCTTAAATTTTGCCGTTTTAATTATATTGCATTTTGGTGGGTCTCGGGGTTTATTTTGTGTGAAACTCTCTGGGCTTCCTAGGTCTAGGTATCTGTTTCTTTCCCCAAGTTAGGGAAGTTCCCAATTACTCAACTAAGATTTCTGCCCCTTTCTCTCTTTCTCCTTCTGGAACCCCTGACATATGAATGTTTCTCTTCTTGATGTTTTTCCATAAGTCTCTTAAGCCATCTTTTTTATTTTCCTTTTTTTTTTTTTTTTCATTTTTATGTTGCTGGTCTCCAATGCTTTCCACTGCTGTCTTCCAGCTTGCTGGTTGTGCCTGCTGCTTCAACTAATCCACTTTTCAGCCTCTGTGTTGTATTTTTTGGATCAGCTATTGTGTTCCTTAGCTGTGATCTCTTTGGAACTTTCTATTTATGTAGAAATAAGTTTATATTTAAAATTTTTATCTATCTGAAATTTATCTTGGTGTATGAAGAGTGAGTTTAAGGATCCAGTTGGTTCTTGTACTGATAGCTGGACAGTTGTCCCACACCACTTAATGCTCTTTCCCTTTTTGGTTCAAAATGCTTCCTTTATTTTACATTTCACTATTGTACGTCTGTTTTCCTGGACAAAGATATGGATGTTAATTTTACTGAGAGAATTCTTTCTCTCCCTACCTCTTAGTAGGCTGATCCAATATTTTTATCTTTTAGGATCCCTTTAAGTATAACTACCCACCACTAGTAGATGATGACTTCCAGACACCATTGTGTGAAAATGGGCCTATTGCCAGTGAGGATGAAGCTTCAAGTAAAGAAGATATAGAAAGTGATGCTAAAGAAACCTTGGAAACAATGTCTAGTGAAGAACAAACAGCTCTTCCCAAAAAGGTAATTTTAACACTATAATGAAATTGACTCAGAACTGTGGCCCAGCTCCAATTCAACCACTAACTGGCTATGTAATTTGGGGTAAGTTAATTTGCTGCCATTCCACATCTTTGTATGTAGAAATAGATGAAAGATGGGACTAGCTGGCCAATAGTCCCAAGAGTATAAAAGGCTGGTTCTATGATTATGTATGAAAACTTGGAGCGTGTAGCCAGAATGAATTTTTTAATCTAAAATATTTTATATAAAAGGAAATGATGATTTTACCTTGATCTACATTCATTTTTTAATAAGCACTTAGTTGTATCTTTTTATGAGTGATGGGGACTTGACATAGAGATAAGATCAAAACTAAAAGACTCTTAAGGGAAGGACCAATTTATATTTCTCCAGTGACCTATTTATAGTAGGCACACAAATGTGTTAATAGTCATGTTAAAGTTTGTTATACTAAGGTAAGTGAACATTTGTTAAAGGTTATAACTTGTGTTGAGCCAAGGTAGTATTTAATTTTTGACATAATGACCTGCCCAACTGTCAGTATGAAACTAAATTTCTTTATATTTTCTTCATTTTTTGTCTTCAGATGAACCTAACTGAATCTACTTCCAATATTTCCAAAACAGAAGAAAATGAAAAAGTGGATTCCAAACTGAAAACTTTCAAGAAACCACTGAGTGTGTTTAAAGGGCACTTGTTACACATCAGGTAATAATTAAGAATTTTATTAGCCATGTTTTTATAATATGTCTGAAGAGTCACCTTGGTTTCCAGACAGGGTGAATATTTGTAGCTACCTTTTTATTATTTATCCTGATGAGATTTATCACTTCATCCCATCAGGTAATAAAAGTTACTATTCACGTGTTAACAATAAATTTGGATAACATGTATGTTCTCATTTTACTGACACTGTTAAATTTGCACAAGTGTAAGAATGCTAGAAAGAACATAGATTTGGGCATCTGTCAATTTGACCTTCCAACACTAAAGCAGAATCAAAACAATAGGTTTAAACCCCAAATTTCAGCCCATCTCTTTTTATTTCTAGGTTGTTTGACCCAAAAGAATCAGGACTGTTTATCATTATGTAAATACCTCTTGGTCTGTTGATGTTTTTGGTTGGTAAATCTATATAGCCTTATATTAATACTGCTATACCAACTTTTAGTAAAACCTAATGTATCATTTACTATCCTTTTACTTGAAATTTTAATTGTTTTTAGGTATCTTTTCTGAACAATACAACACACTTTTAAAAAATCATATTCTCTGACAAGATTCATTTGTTTACATATATTTTGATATATCTCCATCATCTGTGTGTGTGTGTGTGTGTGTGTGTGTGTGTGTGTGTGTGTGAGAGAGAGAGAGACAGAGAGAGAGAGAGAGACAGAGAGAGAGAGAGCTGTACATGTTCTATTTCTTTGTTTCCTCTTTTAACTCTATTGGGTTAGAAGTGACATGTTCCATTTCTTTTGCCAGCTGGGGAGAAAGGCTGAGCAGAGCAGGACAGCTTCCTGGCAGTACTCTGGGCTCTGTCACTCTCTGCCTCCCCCCACCCCCGCCCCCAGGAAAGGCACGCAGCTAGTCCTACTTACTCAGGAACCCAAACAATGTCCTTCTCCCTGAAGCGTCTCAGGGTTTTTGTGCTAGTTTCTGAGAGCAGTTCTGAGATCCATACCTTTCTTTTTTTTTTTTTTTCTTTTTCTTTTTTTTTTAAAGATTTTATTTTTATTTATTTATACAAGCACTGGGTATAGTCAGAAGCGCAGGGGGGTGAGAGAATTCACCAGAGCCAGAGCTGAGAGCAGAGCAGGCAGAAGGACCGAAGTACACTGCTGAGGGGAGCAGCGGGTGGCAGGAGAGGTCTGCACGCCATGTGGGACCCTCGCCCTGTAGCCGGGGATCGAACTGGCGCTGCAGACGCTGTGGGCAGCTTCGCAACCCAGCGCTCAACGGCTGCGCCACCGGGGAGGCCCTGAGATCCATACCTTTCTGTCTCTCCTGTGGCATAGCTCAGATTGGGTTCTAAAAAGAAGCCAACAGTCATGCTAATTTACCCTCTTGTCCAAAGCTGAGCAAAGCCCTCTTGAGAGAATGTTTATTTTTAAAAATGTGTCTCTAGGTGAGTAAATATCTTAGAGTCAAGGGCTCTCCGAAGGATTCGTCTTTTCATCTGAAACAAAATCACTGTTCTTCCCATTGTACGAGGCACCTGAGACATAAGCTAATGCAGTTAAACCACGCAAACTTGGCGTCAGTCTTTTCGTTTGTTTGCTTTTCGTTCTTTGTTTGGTAAGTTCTACCTGCAATTACCAGTCCAAACTTTCTTTCTTTAGTTTCTCCTTCCCTCTTACTTAGGAAAAGGCTGTAAAGAATAAGAACTCTTATTTAAATGCATCCCTAAAATGCAAATCAAAACTACAATGAGATACCATCTTACACCAGTGAGAATGGCACATATTAAAAAAACTAGCAACAACAAATGTTGGCGAGGGTGTGGAGAAAAAGGAACTCTTCTGCACTGTTGGTGGGAGTGCAAATTGGTCCAACCACTATGGAGAGCTGTGTGGAGATTTCTTGACCTACTAAACATAGAGCTTCCATATGATCCAGCAATTCTGCTACTAGGTATTTACCCAAATGACACAGAAACAGTAATTCCAAAGGGCACCTGCACACCTATGTTTATAGCAGCACTATTTACAATAGCTAAGCTATGGAAGCAACCCAAATGCCCGAAAACAGATGACTGGATCAAGAAGATGTGGTACATATACACCATGGAATATTACTCAGCAATCAAAAAAGATAAACACATGCAGTTTGCAGCAACATGGATGGAGCTGGGGGGGATCATGCTCAGCGAAATAAGCCAGAAAGAAAAAGAAAAATACCGGATGGTCTCACTCATAGTAGGAATTTAGAAAACCTAAATAAGAGACCAGGAAAAAGACTAATCAATGCAAAGTAAAAATCAAAATCAACAAGCAACTATAAACCAGAGAACCGCTAGCGCGGGGGGTGGGGGGGCGGGGAAAGGAAGGACTAGAGTCAAAATAAGGGGGGGTGCAATTGTATGGGGATTATAACCAAAATGAAAATGCACACATTGTGCAAAGATGAAAAAAGATGTAAGAATTATATAAAATAAAATATTTAAATAAAAAATAAAAATAAATGCATCCCTAATCATATTTCATGTTATGCTTTTCTGTTGGCATATTAAAATATGCTCCATTATAAAGTTGAAGCACCAATACCTTCTTTGCTTTATTATATAGCATTCTAAAAAGTGTAAATGCATTTAAAAACAGTACTAGTTATAGGATTAATTCAGAATCTTCCCAGTTTTCTCCTCTGTTCCTTCTTGTTTTCATGTTGGAGGAAAAAACCTTAGGACTTTTTAAAAAGTTTACATTGAATCGATAAGACAATGCAAATTATATTCAGTAATTGTTTTTGTAATCTTGATGGTTTTGATAAGTAACCTATACAAGTAAGTATAATATATTAGCCAAATATTTTTCTTTTAGGTGATGATTACATTGTCATTTACTCTGAGTAATACAAATAACTTTCATTTTTGTCACCACTTAGCCCAGCAGAAGAACTGTATTTTGGAAGTACAGACTCTGGAGAGAAGAAAACTTTAATAGTATTGACAAATGTAACTAAAAATATAGTGGCGTTTAAGGTAAATATCTGAAAGATAATGAAGTATGTGAAAATTTGCCATGGCAAATGATTTTAGACATTCTAATTGAAAGACTGATGATTACGAACTTAGTTTTTTAATTTATGGTATTAGAAGACTGTATCTCAGTCTTTGATGTGCAGTAAAAGGCTAATGTCGAAGTTAATCCCAGGGTTGAATGTTTATTGTAAATGAAAATCACTCTTCACTATATAAATAATTCAGTTAATATTAACAGTGAAAAATAAGACTGTAAAAGTGAAAGTACATGCCCCATGTGACATGTTCAGGAGTATCATTTATACTGAATATACTGGCACCGATGTACTTGATACTGAGCATTAAATGTGATATGACAGTCTTACTGTGCAGATATTACTCCCTTGAATTATAAGACAGGCTAAGTAACATTTGGACTTACAAGCAAGTGTTTTTAGATTTTTATTTTGATGGTGAAAGAAACGTCTATGCATATACCAAGGTGTTTTGTAAACTGTATTAACTACATATCTTTAAGGTCTTTCAGTCAGTTGCCCTAAAAACCATAAAGGTGAATATGTGACTACTGTATTTATAAACAGGTGAGAACAACTGCACCAGAAAAATACAGAGTCAAGCCCAGCAACAGCAGTTGTGACCCTGGCGCATCAGTTGATATTGTTGTGTCTCCCCATGGGGGTGAGTTGTCTCTTGAAGACCACAGTGGGGTGGAGGTGGGGACCTGGGCTGGGCAACATCAGCAGAGGTGGACTAGAACCTCAAAACTAGCAGTGTCGGCCATGTCCCCTCTCCTCACTCTAGTGTTATGTTTTCTCACACATTAAAGTCAGACAGGCAAAGGATTCTACATAGCCCTGCCAAGAATTAAAATGTTTTCAATTTTTTAATGAGTAAAATTGTATAAACTGACCCCAACTGAAAGTGAATTTCAAAAATAAGTCTGCTTTTAGAAGAATTCTTCTAAGGCAATTCCATATTCTTGCCTTGATGTAGTCTAAAGTAATGCTGTAAACCACATTATCTAACCCTTTATAAAGGTTCCATTTTATATGATAAGTTCTCCTTCTGAAATGCAGGTTTAACAGTCTCTGCCCAAGACCGTTTCCTGATAATGGCTGCAGAAATGGAACACTCATCTGGCACAGGCACCGCAGAATTGACTCAATTCTGGAAAGAAGTTCCCAGGAACAAAGTGATGGAGCACAGGTATCCTTTTTGCTCACAAGCTTTCAAATGGGGTGGAAAGAACCAGACGATACCGACATAGGCTAGGTAAGCATCACTTCCCCTTTGCGGAAATGTTGCCAACATTTAGGCTTCTGGTGTGGGCCCTGAACTCGTCAAGGCTGTGCAACAACCAGTGAATGAGACCTGCAGTTTCCTGAGGAGGCTGCTAACAGAAGAAACTTGCTGGCAGACTAGTGCAAGAATCCGGATGAGTCAGAAGTACAAATGCAGCAGTTTGTCCCAGCAGATCCTCTCAGGAATGCTCGCCTTGAGTACTAGAACATTTGTTGCAGAATTGGTAATAGTGAAAAATGGGAAGAGTATAAGGAATATTGTGCAGCTATCCAGAGTAGACCGTGTTCTGACATGGGAAAACATCGGTGTTATTAGGGGGAAAAAAAGCCTCGTCATAAAAATATGGAAGCTGTTGTTCTATTTAAGAGAAATTCCTTGATAGTACAGGCATATATACATGAATATGTGTAAAAGTATATCAGGTTGTGATAAATGCCTTGAAAAGATATAAAAAAGAATAAGGAAGGCGATTATTTCTCCCCCTTCACTTGTCAATGTCTGGAATCATTTTTGGTTTTCACAACTAGGGTTGTGGTGATGTGGGTATCTAGTGGTTAGAGACCAGGGATACTGCTAAATACCCACAGGGGAAAAGCCCCCACCACAGAGAATATCCAGCCCAAAATGTCATAGTGCTGAGAGTGAGAAATCGCAGTTGAAGGTAATTGAAGATGACCAACTGATGATATTTGACTAGGACCTAGAAACAAAAGTAGCCACAGAAACTGGAAAAAGAGCTTTCCAATAGTGGTAACCACAGATGAAATGTGCCTGCCCTGTGTAAGGAGCAGTGTGGAGTAGGAAGCCAGATCATTGCTATCAGAAGGTCTTCTGATTTTGGAAAGGAGAAAGTTAGTTGGTGCTGAGTGGAACCATGAGTTGATCCAGCTTATTTTTCTTGCAAGGATTATCTGGGGACCATGTGGAAAACAGACTGTGGACACCAAGTAAAACAGTAATGTTGAGTTAATGTTTACCCTTATTCATAAAACAACCCTAGGAAGTAGATATTTTTCCTACTTTATGAGAAGCTGGGAAACCTAGAAATGGTTATAGCTGAGTGAAATCTTCAAAAAGGAAGTTGAAAGAATACAAATGTGACTGGAACACAAGAGTGAGAGGATCCACAGTAAGAAAATAAGTTACAGGCAGACAGGCAAAGAGCAGCGAGGAGTGTTCACTACCTTCAAACCAATTAGAGTCCCAATCTGATTTGCCTTTGATAAGATCACCTTATTTTTTGGTCATTCACTTGAGTGTACAAGAGTGGGCCAGAGAGATGAGCTTTACTTCAGTTGTCCCCAGCAAGAACCTGTAAAATTTCGATCTAGAAGACTATAGGGGGTCAGAAGGGAAACCAGTATCTGTATCATCTTAGCAGCAAAAGAGCATGTTTCATGAAGGGAAGAGACCCAAGTGTTCCCATGCCAGCCAAGAATGATGAGGGATGCGCATTGGTGATTGCGGGTGACATCACAGAGGTCACCATCACCTCACAGGGAGCACTTTCAGTTGGCAGAAGCTGCATGTAAGAAAGAAGCGAGATGTGGAAGAAATGGGAGGGGTAAGGCTGCTCTGGAGGTGTGACTTGTTGAGAAAGTTACAGTTGGAAGAAGGAATATGGGGCTGATGAAGAGGTGGGATTTTTTTTTTTTTTTTTTTTTGTGGGACCCTCGCTGGTGGCTGGGGAACGAACCGGCGCTGCAGAGGCTGCGGGCAGCCTCGCAGCCCAGCGCTCAACCACTGCGCCACCAGGGGAGGCCCAAGAGGTGGGATTTTTAATGGGAGAACTTTGAGCATTATGTAAAAGCACAGCAAGGACCATTTGAGCAGGAGAGGCTGACCATGTGAGAGAGATACTGGCAGTAGAATTCCTGAGAAGGTGGAAAGACAGGACCTAAAGCAGAGTTGGGGCTCAGTCTTAGGAGGGAAGAAGGAATGTGTGTGTGTCTGTCTGTCTGTCTCTCTGTGTGTGTGTGTGTGTGTGTGTGTGTGTGTGTGTAAAGCTCATGGGTTTGAATGGCTTTTAGATGGAGTGATTGAATATTTAAATATTCAAGTTATAGGAGTGCGGAGTGCCACTTCTTGGTTTTTATCAGGTGTATTTCAAAGGTAGGGCAGTGGAAACACTGAAAGTTTAAGGAACACTGCTAATAAATGTTGGGGATTAATTTGAAGTTCTTATGAAATAGTTCCTCAAATTTAGGGATTTTGGGGGGTTATTTTAGGATCTGGTGAGTTCTGAATACCATATGAAATCTTTCTATTGAATATTGCGGGTTACTGAGCAGTATATGTAAATGCTTGTGTTATTTATAAATGCTTTGAAAAGCAAGAAGACGTAGGGGAGGGAAAAATTTCCCTCTAGTCTAGTTTGGCTGAGACACCCCGCTTGGCACCCCTAATAAAAGACAGATTAACAGGAGAGAAGTCTGATGTCATGTATACCTCCTCTGAACACAGGTGAGACCTGGGAAAGTGGGCAACTCTCCAAAGTTGAAATGGCCGAAGCATCCACCTTAAATACAGTCACCAGTTAAACATAAAAGATGATGTTCAGTGGCGGGAGAATCAGTTAAAGCCCCATACTAGGCAACTTCTACTAGGTTCTCAGCAGATGTGCTAATCTCTGGTGCCAGGCAGACACTACTGGAATGGGACTTTTCCACAACTGACAGGGAAGGTTGACCTTATGGACTGAGACTCCTTCTAACACACTCTCCTGAGAACTGGCACAGTGAATCAATGAGAGTGCTGCTTGTCACATTCTATCTCAGAGCCCTAGCCTACCCAGCGGGTGCCCAGTGAATGCCAACACATACATCCTCTGACTGACAGAGCCTAGAGACTACCTCAGTGGTCACCAAGTCAAGCTCTCAAGACAGAACAGGACTAAAGGAAAACCTAATCTGACCTATCATTCTCCTAAAGACAGTACACAGAAAAGAAAATAATGACCATCTCTGGGAGGAAAAAGAATCAGAAGGAAATAGAGCTCATAAAGAAATTCTTTACCAAAGCCGCTATATCCAAAGAACTACTTGACACAACTCTTGTCTTGCTAATCTAAGTCTGGAAAGGGAGAGTCAAAGTAAAATTTTTACTTTCCACTTGACTGGGCACTACACACACACCTGGCAGGCTACCTCCAGAGAGAATTCTCCCCTATCCACCGGCTCCAGCTAAGTATGGTGGCTCAGCTGGTCCCATCATTGGTCACCACCTGTAGAGAAGGGAAAATAATTTTCTCTCTAAGCTTTGGGTTCTAAACTGAGAACCCTCTGTAATAACAGAATAACAGGAGAAAAACAAGTGTAATAATCCATACGCCCCCAGAGACCCAGGATAAACTCCTGGGTATTGAGTAACTCCTCAAAATGGCCTAAGCCATCCCCTAAGATACCACCTTCAGCTAAAGACAAAGAGGATATTGAGGTTTGGGGGCTGTGCCCAGTTGCGGGAGCTTATCAGGCAAAGCACAGTAAACAAAGGCAGGGTTTTTATGCAAATTTAGGCCATTGCCTTCTCCTTTGGTAAAGAATTTGTAGGGATTTAGTCATCCTGCTCTTCTTTACACCCATACCAATGGAGATTTCCCTTCAAAAGGGTGACTTCTCAGTGTCTACTGCTTCTTAAATAACCAACTCAAGGTAATTCTCCTGAAAAAGAGGCATAGTTTAGGATGGTGTATTCTGCTCCCTTCCACACTGAGCTTAGTCCTCTCCCTATCTGGGGAGAGGACTCAATCTTTTACCTCCTATTACATACACTATGTGTTTAACTTTTTTCATCTTACTGTACTATAAATTCATTAAATATTATAATAAGTAGTTTCCTTTGGATGTTCGCAGGTTAAGATGCCACATCGTTGAGAGCAGTAAACCAACTAGTCTTACATTTAAAGACCATGCTTTTAACATATCGGAGAAAACCAGTGAAGATATAGCTCTACAAGTAAGTGTTCTTTCTTAACTAAAGTCATTAATGCTAACCAACATTAAAGATTCATTTTTTTCCCCCAATGGCATAAAGAAAACCTTTGCATAAGACACGACAGAAAATCAGAAGTACTAACTTCTTTATGAAGGGAAGCCACAAGGCCAGGCTATGAGTTCCCTTTGGAAATCTAACTTTCTTGAAGCTTTGGCCGTTTTAATTTGGATAAGAGACCATACAGAAAAGCATGTGGTACTCTGGGGAGTGTCAAAGAATTCCATCTCATGCAAGAAGTACCTGTAGTGCATTTAAATCTGAAAAGGACAGAGGGACTGAGTAGCTGGTTCCTTTCTCAGCAAGAATATGCAAGAATATGCAGATACATGTCTGTTCACCAAACCTAATTTCTCATGATATTTCCAGCTTCCAGTCTCTCAGGGTAATAACAAATGTTTGATTTCTAATATTCCCATTGGTGGAACTGCTAATATTCCTTGTTTGTCATTCACTTGAGTAATGTACTGTTTTATTGATAAAGATCTTTCCTCCTTTCTTCCCCTCTGTAGCTCAATCGTTTACTAGAAAGCAATAGGAAGCTTGAAGACCAAGTCCAGCGTTGTATCTGGTTCCAGCAGCTGCTGCTTTCCTTAACAGTGCTCTCGCTTGCTTTTGTCGTGTCTTTCTTCTACCTGTTGTACAGTTAAAGACGTGCCCTGTAGGACACACGGCTCCTCGCTGATTAGTTGGAAAAAGTAACAGACCCCAAACTTCACCACCACGCTCCTAACAGTGCTGCACATCCGTGCTCCTGAAGGGAGAGGTGAGGCACTTAGGGGGCACAGACACAGGTCTTGAAAATAAACCGTTAGGATAAGGAAATGCCGAAGAAATTGATTATAAGAGACTCTCTAGTTAGTAAAGTAAGTAAAGGCATATTTGTTATATAATTTAATTTATTTTTTCCTTTTGATTTGAATACCTTTAAAGCTTAAGCTTTATAATGTATATATGTTAGCTGAACTGAAATGTGTAAGTAACATGCTTTATTGCAGCCGAAATGTCATCTGTTTTTTTTTTTTTTTTTTTTTGGACAAATTATAGCTGAGCCAACTTAGTAGCTTTTCTATACTATGTAAATAGAGAACATGTATATTGAGACAAAGAGTAATTTATGTAATCATGACTTTGTAATTTTGAGAATTATTTCCAGGTGATAGTTAATATTCCTTGGGAATGTAAAACTAATGCCAAACCACCTTTAGCCTTTGTTTCTTATCTGTACTCCTTAATAGCCTGCCTTTTATTAATCTTGAACTTTTTTATGAACACTCATTTAGGAAGAATTTGGAAAGCTAAGTTTGGTTGGGATTTTTCTTTGAAGTCTGTTAGTAATGTCCAGAAGGAAAATCTCTTTGATCCCACCTTCCAGCCTTGTATGCCATTTCATTTCGCTCACTGAGGCTGGATACTGACCCTTTGGCTTCATTTATTACAAAGGCCTGATGTGCTATAGAAGCCTGATTCCCCATCGCTCCATCCCCACCGGGTTTTCTACAGGGAAGGAGCTAGATAAAATTTCTTGAAAAGTTAGTGGTTGCGATACATAGCAACAGAGTTTACATTTCAGTTCCTGGTTAAAAATCAGCCATGAGGAGGAAACTGGACAAAAAACTGGAATATCTAGAAGGGATGGGGGGAAAGTCGAACCAAAGGTCTCGTCCCCATGTAGAAGTGAAAGATAGAACTCATGACGACCTGTGAAACCTGCAGACCAGGAGTCTTTGTCTTGCTTGATACTCTCTCTGCCTTTGTCAAAATAGCACTTAGGATGCTTTCTCCATGCCTAAAATGCTAGACCTGCAGGACCACAGGCTAATGAAACTAGTGTTTTCTCACTAATATGAACGGTTCAGCCCATCCATGTTGGTTCACATGTATATCTACTTTTTCTGAAAGGAAAAATAGTCTGGCTGTAAAATAAATTTTGAGTTTTGATTGAGCTATGTTTGGAGATTTTTTTTATTATCCTTGAGTGTAGTGTTGGCGGCTTTCATCTTTAAAAGTTGATGATTCGAAACCTGAGTTGTGAAGAATGATTTCATAGCATTCCTTCAAAACTGGCCTAGGACGTAAAACCTTAAAAGGACACTGGTCTGATACTTTGTCTTAATTTGGGTTTTTCTGTTTCAGTTTGCCAACTCCAGACGTGAAAATGACTGCAGTCCGCCCTGAGTCCTGTCCTTAGTAACCCCCTGTGTGCCCACAGTGGCCCCCTTATATGTGCCATGCCTGGCTTCAGTGTCATCTAATCCCAAAGTACATGTTTTTGTTCCTCATCAGATAAATGAGGAAATAATTAGTCAAGATTGGCAATGTACTGTCCTAACAGTGTCCCTTTAATGTTTCATATGAGATGATGTCAACTCACTAACCTGTTCTTCCTTGATGTCTGGCCAGTTGAATTGAATATCGTATCTTGTTAACGTTTGTGTGTCTATTAAGTGTGACTAAGCAGAAATACTAAAAACTTAACCATCAAAGGCATCTAAACTTTGCATTTGTCTTTGATTAATCATGTATTCACATTTGATTTTATTCTGTCTTCACTTGATTTTATCACATGTATGATTACTATAGAATACTAAAAATATTTTTCGTCATATCATTACCTGTTCATGACCAAACTACCAATACCAAGGACCAACATTTAGATTGTTTTCACTTAACAATGGAAATTAAGATTTTTCCATGAAAACATGAATGAGATACTAGATCTGCAAGAAGCCTAAAATGCATTTGCTCCAACTTCATACCATAACTTTTTATATCTTGCCACTAATTTTGACTGGATTTAATAGCACTTTATTGTACAATTGCAAAAAATATATATATTCCTAGAATTGTTGCCAGTGTAATTTCTCTAATGTTCTGGTGCTTTTCATATATTTTCAGTATTTTATTACTATATTCGTATTTTCTTTGTATAAATTGATCAAAAGAACATGTTTTCTATTTTAATATGTTTTAGAAAAATAATTACATTTATGAAATAAATATCATCAGGAAAACCTCTGGTCTCTAATTGATAAAGCATCTTAAAATCAATGTTTAGGTTCACTCTGACCTTCTAAAGATCACATTCATTTCTTTTGGACCCATTTTACATTTTCATAAGGACAGGCTCCAAGGTTCCCACAATGCAGCTGTGCACCGGTGAAGCTGGCTTGGTGGGGCCTCAGATCAGGGTGTGGCCGCTGTTTGCCTAGACAGCACTGGACCGCCAGTCACAGGTCAGGGCTCCTGCGAGGAACCTGGCACTAGAACCATGTCAAGCAGCTGCCTCACATCCCCATAGTCCTCATACCCAGTACTTCCTGGCTCACAGGAGCTGGCAGGAAGCTGGCCCCCAAGGCCACCAGGCTCACAGGCACTGAAGCACCAAGGGTGTACTTGGGGAGAGCAGCAGGGCAGTTGGGGATAGTGACAGGAGAGGCCCCTTAGCCCTGGAAGACAACTCCCGAATGGCAGCTGCCAGCCCCTAAACATGGAGGCAATAGTGCAGGCCACCTCCTAACTGGAAAAGGTCTAGATAGAAAATCATCAGGTAATTCAAAACAGAGCTGCAAAGACAGCCAGGTGAACGCCTGTCCGAGACACACACTTGTCTAGGCCACAGAAGTGTACCTGGAGCGGCGTCTCCAGCTAGCAAAGGACGGGTTACCTGACAACAGCCTTCAGCTCTTTCTCCCTTACATTTTCACCATCTCCCTTACATTTCACCAGGTTACCTGGCCTTAGAAGAATATGCGCCCCCGGAAGCAGAGGGCTCCCTTTCTCTCCCTGGTCCAAGAGGACAAGATAGAATCCCCCATTTGTTCCAACTGAGGCAGTGATGGTTCTGGCTTCGAGGTCCCTCCCCGCCATGCGCCATCTATGTGCCTTGGGCGTGATAAATGACCACGCGGTCCCATCCTCGTCCCCAGGCGAGTCGAGTCTGATGATCGGAGCCGCAGGGCTACTTCACCGCATCGGAGCCAGCGAGAGGAACACATACACTTCACAGCACACTGGAGAGGCTGGCGGGGCTTTGCCACCACAGCCTTCCTTCCAGCCCAGCTTCCCAGAACCTTTCACAGTTGAGTTGATCTTCTGAGTATCCCCCCACCCCAACACCACCATTCAAAACCGAACTTCTCCCTACTTGGTATTCCTTCATCCCTTGCCTCCTTGGCATCTCGAACTGGAGCCCACGTTGGACACACCTAGAAGGCCAGGGCCGCTCAGCTGCCTTGAGTCCTGGGAAGAAGTACACCTTCCAGTCTGAGCAAAATTGGTCCTTGTTTCCTTCTACCCTCACACCCACACCCCTTCAAACCACGCATGCACGCACACAGGAAATTGATCTTGCAAAATTCCAGCCATGACTGCTTCCCTTTCATTTGTAAGAATTCAGTAAAAATAGTACCTTTAACATCTTCCTCTAACTTCTGTCCTTTTGAGATTCTCTGCCCCTTCTCCATTTACATCCCCTGCCACGCAGAGTAAGATTCATCACTTGCACATGTTAAAATATTTGAGACAATTGGTTCAACTGGCAAGGGAATTGAACCACATCTCTGTGACCCGTAGGGGCAAGATCTGTGCACATTTTCAAGTCGCTAGGGCTACACCATCTTGTGCATACAGATAAGGAAAAGGAGGGCCCAAGAATTCTCTTTCCCAAGGTCACACAGCTAGTTGGCTTCAGAGTCAAGAGTTGAACGCATCTCCCAAGTCCAGTGCTTGTCTGTTACAACCACCCAGAAGTGCTATGTCTGATAATAGGTTCAAGTACTGAATGGACAGTTCTGAGAGCTTTACCTTCACCAAAGAGCAGGAGGTGAAAAGAGATGATAGAATATTTAAGGAGAAGCACAGGTGACAAAATAATAGCCACCCATGACTTCCTCAGCAAGAAAATCAGGGTTCTTGGCAATGGATGCCACAGACAGACCTTACTTGGAAAAAGGGCTGCGGGTCCCTGTGCACTTTGGAGGTGGGTTTTGGTGCAGAGGCACCATTGGCCTCCTGTGAGGGTGCAGCCAACACCACAGAAGGACATCTAGTCAGAGTTGATGCTAGTTGTCTCGGCCACAGTCTGGCAAATCGTGTTTTATAAAACCGGAACATAGCGCTATTCTACAGCCATGTAACAAAACCACCACAAACAGTATCTGAAATTATCTAACAGTCTGCGTGGCTGCATTCTCTGCTACAGGTCTCAAGAGGCTGAGATCAAGGTGTCAGGTGACTGTATCCTCCCTGAGGGCACAACTGGATAAAGATCCACTTCCAAGGGCCCTCAGGGCACTGGCAGAATTCCTTTCCTTGTGGTTATAAGACTGAGGTCCTCAATTTCTGACTGATTATTAAGCCAGGGGCTACTCTCAGCTGCAAGAGGCCAACCCCAGGTTGCTGCTCTATGTCCCTCTCCCTAAGTAATTCCTACGTTGCAGTTCCTACTTCAAATCTCCTCTTTCAGGAGGAGGGCTTTGGGCCAGTTAAGGCTCACCGGAAGAGGTCATACCCTCCCAGGCCAATCGCACTTCTGATGAATTCAAAAGTAATTGATTAGGAAGCTCAGTTGCATCGGCTAGATCCCTTCTTTCTGTAGAAGCTAACCGAATGGCAAGAGTGCCACCCCATCACATTTCACCAGCCTCACCCCTCTCTCCAGCAGGAAGAGTCACACAGGGCGTCTGTCAGGTGGGAACTACCTACAAGCCCACCCAATCCGGCACTGCCTTTCAGAGACCAGGAAAGCAGAAACCAGAGTCAGAAAGCAGAGACCAACCTTAGCATAAATGAGCACTTTGAATTCAAAAATACCCTGTACAGTAAGTTCTCACTGAAGAGTCATCTGTAACAATCACTTTTGCCGCAAGCTATGGCATAAATAAGAGTTGAGGTACAAGGGCATGCTTCCGGGCATAAAAAAATCATCAAACTTAAAAAAAAAGCCCCCCAACATGTCTACTATTAGATCTTAAACAATACTTTGTATCCATTTGGGGGGGTTCATTTTGCAACCCTTATTCTGCTCAGGGTCTCGGGTGGTCAGAGCCTGTCCCAGCAGTTCAGGGCACAAGGTGGGCACCCACCCTCGACTGGACCCCTCCGTTGTGGGCCATGTCACACACCCACATGCACTCCGACTAGGACGACTGAGGCGTGTCAAAGACCCTCAGAGGCACAGCTTCGAGATGTGGGAGCAAACCCACCAGACGGGGGAGGTCTCCATGCAGGAATGACTTGGGCCAGGAATTAAATGGTAACACAGGAAACCAAGCAGAATGTGTGCCCTGGGGACCAAATGACAGGCGTGGGAGACGGTGCGTCTCTAAACCAATTGACTTTCTCTAGTTTCATAGCTTCCACTCACACAGCCTTCAAAGTTTTATAAATAAACTTTTGAGGGGAAGTTTGTCACCATGATTTTAAACATTTATTCCATCATAAAATCACTCGAGAAACATGCTCCTGAGGTGTTCATGTCCCTGCTCCAAGGGGACTTCCTGCAATTGTGTGCTTTTGTAAATGAAGCGCTAGTGAAAACAATTAGGTCTTTTACAACTTTCTCTTTTCTTTCAGAATGATGCATTCACTTCAGTCTCCTCATTTCAATTAGTTTTCTTGGACCTACATATGCTCTGTGAAAGCCGCTATGTGAAAACTGTAAGGAAGAAGGACCCTTTTCTTAGAGAACTGCATCGTGATTCCACCATTTATAGTGTCTAATTTTCTTGGCTCAAGATCCAATGCCTCTCACCGAGAGATGTCTCAGTGTCTCTCACTGAGATACTTCCATCTCGGTATCGCACGCAGCAATCTCAGGTGGGATCTGAGCATCCCCTTTCACTCTCCATGAACCATTCTCCGTGTTATACTCGGGCACAGCCTATCGGACCACACCCCAGTTTAACCCCCAGTGGCTTCCGTGGCTCTTGGTCCAGGATTCAGTTCCACAGCTCAGCCCGTGAGGCCAGCAGGAACACCGGGCCCCGGCCTCAAAGGCACAGTCTTTCAGTCAGTGGCCATGGACTCACCAAAGCACCACGGTGCTCGGGCTCCCCCAAACGCTGACTGAGCAGGTGCGTCCCCCAGCTTTTCTTACTCTACTCGCCTCACAGCAGAGATGACGACGCCCCACGAACATCAAGCCAGAGCGCGTTCTCAAGTGCTACCAGCTAGCTC